TTTCCCTCTGGCTGTTTACAAAAAGAGAATGGCTGGTAAGCTGCGTTAATAATCTGGTATTAAGTGTTCCCTGGATCCCAACTTTCTGGGCAGTAAACAGCTCTGCCCTCTCCTCTCATCCCCCACTAGTCTCACTCTGCCGGGCTGAATTCAGAGGTCTCTGCAGAGACAAATCTCTTCTTGCTTGCCATGCTAATAGTAACAGCTGCTTCTGCTTCATCTCCTGTGACATCTAGGAGGCTGCAAAAATACCAATAATATTTAAAATGAATGGCCTCTTTTCAATCTACACTAATGATTTACCTCGGGGGCAGGGGAAAGTGTGTGCCAGTGTTAAGTGTTAGAACAGCTTTATTAGCATTCAGTTCCTTGTGATTCAAGTGCCAAGGTCAGGCTTTCATGGCTGTCTCTTTCTCAACTGTGTTTCCAAGAGCAGATCTCATCCTCTCCACAATCAACAGTGATTTATTCTGTTGTTTGCCTTTCCCTCTGTTACTTTGTGTCTTCAGTTTGTTTCTGCTTCCTTGGAAATCCCTTTAAGTAGTTAAGCAATGCCTGTAGAGCCTGATGTTCAGGCAGCATTTTCAGCAATGGCTGTGCAGACTCACACTCATCCATATTTATGCAACTTCCAAAGCATCTTATGACTTGGTTCATTTCAGTCAGACACTATATAAATGCCAAGGTCAATCAAAATAATGAAGTGAAGTAACATCCTCTACCACTCCCAAGTTTTATCCACACTTTCTCATACTCTAAAGGTGCTATTCAGCAAAACCTGTAGAACTGAGATAGTCTTTAAATCTAGTAATTATGGGAAAGAAGAAAGTAGAATGATAAAGTATAGGTGCTAAATAGACAAAGAACGATGGAGGCAATCTAGGATCTATCTTTTATGTCATCTTCTAATATAGCAACTGAAAGAGGAGAGAAAAGCAAAGAAAAGGAAGTTTTAACAGCAAAAACATGGAAGTAACTGTTACAAAACTTGTTGACAAAAAGCACTGCTTGAGTCCTATAGCACAAAAAGATAGCAAAAAGCTCTAGGGAAATTCTTGAGAAGAGAGTAATCTCACTGATTGGTGTGTTAAGTCTCCATACATATACTGGAAGCCTCATCTAGCCCCTGGTAATGGGAGGAACCATACCAGCTTATTTGATGGCTTAAATCACTGTAGGTCTGTTGAAGTCAAAAGCCATGCTAAGCAGTGTTCTGGCCACTTAGGTGGTTTTTGATAAAGTATTTGTGATAAAGTACCTATTAGTACTAGGTAAGAGTGAAAACTGCTATATTGAATTAGACTGAAAGCTTGCCTAAGCCAGTATCTTATCTCCTGGTTGGTTGTGGATGTTTCAGGAAAGAGGGTAGAAAATACTGCAAGTAGAGCTGTCGTCCTTTCCATGTACCCTTCCAGCTTCTGCTGTCAGTGTTTTAGGAAGTTCCTAGGCCAGAAGTTCTGTCTAAACTGTTACTTGTACCACAGATAAACTACTTTTTCTGGCCTATCTTTTGGACACTGCAGCATTCTATTTCCTTTTTTGTCTGAGAAAAAACCTCTTCCTTCTGTAAATTTCAAACACACTGCCTGATAATTTCATTACGCACCACTTAATTCCACTTTTGTAAGAAACAGCAATTAATCGTTTCCTATTCATCTTTTCTGTATTATTCCCAAATATAAATATATAGCACTTCTGTTACAGCTGTGCCCAGCCATCTCCTTTTCATTCTGTGTAGTCCTAACCAGGCCAGGGTGCTATTGAAATAGAAGTGACATGAACAACTTACACTAGCAAGTAACATTTTTGACAGTAAAGCATTTGAATGCCCTAACCATATGTTCTCCTCCATTGTAGATATGACCAGCATTCCTCCCTTTGAATCTCTTTGGAGCTGTAATTCTCTCAAGCCCAGAGCATCACAGGCCTCTCTTGCTGAGAAAGTAGACCAGAAATCTGTGCTCCTTGCACCTGGTTTCAGGCAGGTGTGTCAGACAGGGCCTACCAAACATATCCTCTCTACAGCAAATGTAGTCCTTACCAATGACACCTTCACTGAGGATGGAGAGGACAAAACTCTGCTTTCCCAGAGCACGCTGCAGCTCGTGTCTGACCCATCAAGCTGGAATCCCTCCACAGAGAAAGATGTATCCCCAGCCATAAGTTCTGAACATAGGTTAGGGTGCTCTGATCCCACATCACTGGACCCTCCAGCTAAGGCCACAAGAATCCTTGAGACTTTGACTTTCCAGTCATCTTTGGAAGGAAACCGTAGCGCTGTGAGCACCTTGCAAGAAGTGGCTTTGGACTGCACCCGCTTCTCTGATCTGAGTGCCAGGTTCCACTCCCACCGACTGGACTCCACTTCCTCAGGAGAAATAATGAGCGTGCTTGAGGGTCGTCTCCAAACTGCTGAGCCACCCCTTATGGTGTCAACATCAGCTGTTACAGCACATTCCTTCTGTCCAGGGAGGGAATGCAGCCTTGGCAGTAGTATGACCTTTCCAAAAATACGAACTGCCAATACACCAAGAGACAGTATCCAACTAGCCAAGAGACATTACAGTCAACCACAGCCAGAGGGTAATTCTTTCCATCGTGTAATGAGTTTAGAGGCTAGCACCTTCCAGCCCATAACAGACTCTCCAGTCTGCCATGGACAAGTGAAGGAAACAGACATTGATGATGATGGGGTACTGGAGCAGATGGAGACAGAACGTGTCCTGGTGAGGGAAGACGCTGGAGCATGTGAGGAAATCAACCACTTATCTGCAGGGCAAAGAGAAGCTGTGAGTTCCGAGACTGGCGTACTTGACCCAGGAGGCAAACCTCCCACACCACCGCTGCACAGGTTTCCATCATGGGTAAGAAATGCAAGGACAACAATCTGAGAAGTGCTGCTTATCTTTGAGTAGTGCCCACTAGTTAGGCTACAGCAGCTCTTGGTCACAAGCAATGGTTTCCTGTTGACATCAGTCACAGTTCTGAACCATGTAGTCTGACAGTGCCAGATCGTGGGGCATGCTGGTTCCACTGACAATTTTGTTCTTTTCTCTTTATAAGGGGAGGGGGGGTGGAAGGGGGAAATCCACAGAAGAAGATAGTACTTGAGAAATACAGGAATAAAAATGGAAGTCAAGAGGTGCTGCATTGTGGTTTATCCTTATGGGTCATCAAAAGTTAATCGTTAGTTCCACTGTCATGTGTTTAAGATAGAAAAGTGAGTCGTAAATGCAAGTGGATGGACCAGACCAGATAGTTCCAGAGTCAGAGAAAACTGTGAATACTAAAATAGATACATGAATTAGATCTCAGTATTCCTATCTCGTGGTATACTTCTATGAATATACATGTCCTATTGCTTACTTCTCATGAGAGAGAAATTTGTTATCACTTTCAATTACTTGTTAGTTCAGATGGTTGGATTGTTTGCTAAAGTGTCAATCTAACTGATAAACTTGGTGGAAGTCAATGTAGTATCAAAAGAGCTAATTATATTATTTTCAGTTTGCTTTCTTAAAGGCATAGGCAAACAAGTGGTTTATTGAAGGTGCAAAATCAAGCATTGTTAATCCTCATGTTTTATAATTTTTTTTCTATGGAAACTTAACATTATTTGAGATCTTTTGCTGTGTCCTTTATGATACCAATTTACACCTCAGTATAATCACAGCTGTTTTTCCAAAGGAATCTCTTTTCATTCAGTCCATAATATGGAACTGTGCTGGGGATGAAGCTGGATAGTGTAATAAAAGAAACAGCAGTTTTCAAGATGTCTGTTTTATTTGCTGCAGAAATCAGAAAGGCCTTATGAACAGTGTACTCACTTGGAAGAAGGGAAATAGGTCTCAGAGATTGGCTACTATCCCTTTCTCTGATCTAGAGTTCCCATGTAAGGTTCTTCTAGTCTATTAAGCTGTTTTTTCACAGGTGGTCATCAGCTCCACACACACCTTCTGAATGTCTAACTTGAGTTTTGCAAGTAAATTTGATTAGAGAAGCGCTGAGCACTTCTCTGCTGCAGCTGTATTCAGTTGTTTTCATTACAAACAATGTTATATGATGCTAAATTCTCAAAAAGTCAGGTCTTGACGTCTTGAAATGGGTACTGCAAAGACATTGGATACTTCCAAGAGCCTATGTCTGAGTTCCTTTTCTGGAAAATAGCGATAGCACCTATCAACATCCCTCCCAGGGTTTTTGTAACATTTTTATTAACTTTTATGAAGCATTGCAGTAGTATTATCAGGAACACCACATAAAAAATCCATTATTTTGTCTTCAGACCAGAGTCAAGTAAGTGTATCCAAGTAGGGCAAATTTAAGTATATTAAACACTAAAGCATGAATAGAATATTAAATAGCAGCTTAATCAGTAAGAAATGTCCATTATGTGCCTTGAATAAGAAGTATCTACGGGAAAAAATGCACGTAATATTTCATTAGAGACTAAATCACAATGCATATATGTACGGAAAATACTAATTCTGTCATTTCTTATTTTGATGTACTTGACTTTGCAGTCTTAGGTACTTTCATGTATATGTATTATGTGTGTTATCTGATAATGATTGGTTGTATGCTTTAAGGAGCAGCAAGAGGATTCCTAATTTTGATTTTTTTAACCATTTTAGACTGGTTGATGTCTTAGTCTTAGCATTGCCTTTAGTTAGAGGTTTGAGTTCCTCCCTTGGCATTTTTATCAATTTGTGAAGCACTTGGAGATCCTTTGAACTGAAAGTTCCGTATGTTGTTATAACTGAGACGTAGGCTTATCAACATCGTTCCAGGCATTTCTTTCATTCCCTTATCAGAGAATGAGAATTCTTTGCAGGTGGTTACTCAATAAATTTGCCTGGTTTAGGGCTGTTCTTGATTCATTTTAATGCATTGTTCATAAAATTGAAAAAACAGCTTTTTCCAAGCTGTGATATAGTATTTTATTTATAATTGCCTGTAGGTGTTCCAGTCTGTGGGTATCCTCTCTAGCATTTATAAGCCAAGTCTGTTGTGATTCAAGGAATCGCACACAGATGCACACTTCTACTAACGGTCATTCACACAACATCTGGTGGAACAGAGCAATCTTTCTTAGAGGGCCCCTCCTTCCTGCCCGAAGGTGTGATTGTGATGTGATTCTGTGACAAGCATTTCTTTTTGCAGAAATTGTTTGACTTACTATTGCTGTTCATGGTATTATTATTCCAGGAAAGTCGGATCTATGCTGTGGCCAAGTCTGGCATGAGGATGTCTGAAGAGGCCACAGTGAATAATAATTCCAGCTTCTGTAAGTTCTAGACAAGATCATCCTTAGAGGGAGTTTGCAGTGACAGTGTGGGACCTGAGCTCCTGGCTGTTCACATTTCTTCATTTCCTTGCCTGTTTTCAAAGTAAATTTGATTTCTCAAATAGCCACAATAAAGAAAGGAAGGGAGGAGGATACACCTGATCTCAGGGATGGTTGGTGCTGGGCTGTTTGAGCCCATACATTCAGTGATATCTTCAGGGAATCCATTATCTCCTTCATCACTTTTGCTGACACTGTGCTTCTGCATGTCTATGGCCTGCTTTTAGTCTTGTGATTCACCATCACCTTCCCCTGTCATGGCTTTTACCTGTTTGGACATGGTACACCAGATTGCCATTTTACCATGAGGAGCACAGGGTGGGTAAGATGTCTTACAGGCTAAGTGGAGGGTGTATCGCAGCTGTCTCTGGGAGTTGTATGTGATTAATAACACATGCCTTGGCCTTTCTGAGGATGAACTGTCCACAGTGGCAGTCCTCCATTATTTAATGTTCCAAAAGGCTACATAAGGTCTTACACGCATACATATACCTCTCCATTAAAACCTCCTTTTCACCAGTTTATATTATTTGCTGTCTTGCTCTCTCTCTGAATTTTCCCAGTTTCCAATTTCTCGTGTTCAACTTCTGGGCCATTTACCTGTCTCATCTACAGAAACGTCACAGTGCCAGTCTACACTACGCTGAAGGGGGTAAGGCGTTACCTCACTTTTCCTGTTCTGAAAAGTATGGTTCAGGGCTGCTAGTAATTTGAGAGAGAACAGGATGCAGCTGTGCAGTGAAGGAAAGAAAATTGGAGAATGCTGGGAAGTGCTGGACACCAAAAGTATGCAGAAGGAGTCGCAGATAAATGTATTTAGGAATAGAGAACATTGCAGCAAGTTTTGGTCCAGGAAGCTGCAGAGTGCACTATGAGGCTGTAGAAACCTAGGGGTAATAGTGGGTGTAGCCTAGAGAATGAAATGGAAGAGGGCTCTTGAGAGTTTATGGGGAAGCACAGCATTTGTGGAACAGTAGGAGGCTGTAACCAGAGGAGACCCAAACAGATCAGACTCGAGAGTGCAGCTTGGAAGTTCTCAGACTGGAAAGGGAGGAAATGAGGAGCCCTGGGGCAGTAGTGGGCAAGGCCATGTGAAAATGAAGGGCTTGGATTGATAGCCCTGTCTCCTTATTGAGCAGGGATTGTACTAGGGCAACTCTTCCCTTACATGCTGACCATACAGGTCTGTTTTCCAGAAAGCCACACAGATCAGCAATGTGCCTTTCTTAGATGAGTCTTCTGGCTCTGATGATGACTGTGGCTCCCATGCCAGCTTCAGGACTTCTACTGCTGGATCTGAGAACAGGAAAGCTAGCACACCAGGCAGCCCTCGTGCAGTGAAGAGAGGTAAAGTGGGAGTATTGCTACTAAGCAGCATGAACTCTATCCTCATGGGTAAGGCAAGATGTGCTGAACAGCATCATCAGTGATATGCAAATGCTCAGCCTTGGTGATGCTAATAAGAAGTTCTCCCAGAATGTGTGCAGACATCAAGAGTTTCTCAATAGACACCTGTCCTCTCAGATGGGATTTTACCACTGGTAGATTTCTATCCAGGCAATTGGTAAGGTAAGATTATGGGAAGGATTGATCTATCAAATTTGTCACATATTCAGTGAAGCCATCCATGCCTTTTCTGTGACTTGTCCTTGTAAACAAGTTAATACTGACACATTAAATATTTTTTGTCTCTGTCACTGGCTGATAATTTCTTGACCAGTAAGCAAATCTTTCCTGTCTTTGAGAGGCATTAGGTAATTTGGGTCCTGGCTAGGACAATTTTTCTTGATTGCTGGGAAGGTTAAACTAGATCCTTGAGTGGATTTTTCGTTACAATTGGCACTCAATAAAATAGAATCCTATTTCATGTAGTCTTAACTTCTGTTGTGATGCATTGGCTTATGTGTCTGTGCATTGCTGTGGACCAGTGGTGGAAGATTCACAGAGAGCAAAGCCTCATTGCTGGTGAGGGAGCCTTTCCTTTAGTTTGAAGAAGAGAGGCTTGAGGCTTTATAATGGATGTTTCCAAGCTAAAACCAGCATGTCTGTGCTTGAGATAACAAGTCTGCTGGTGGGGGGTGGGGGGGGATGTTTAATATTTTTTTTAAATCTCTGTTTATTCAGCAACAAATTTATTTCACTGTCAGTATCCAAAACTCACTCTTACTACTTGTCTTCCTGGGCGGGGGAGGGGGGGGAAATCTCAGAAGTTTGGTTAGTGGGGTTTGAGTTTCCAAAATCTGATCTGGTTTGTTCTTCTTGAACAAAAAAGCCTTAATGGTGAACTCAACCTTTTTTCAGAGTGTGCATTATTCAGTGCATGCTTCTGTCTCGCCTTGATTCTCATTCTTTCCTTTATTTTGAACAGGTGTATCCATGTCCTCACTGAGCTCTGAGAGTGACTATGCCATCCCTCCTGATGCCTACTCCTTGGATGGTGACTATTCAGAGCCAGAACATAAGCTACAGCGAACATCTTCCTATTCCACTGATGGTGGAGTCTGTGCTGTAAGTCTTGCTATCTCACAGTTGTGAAGGGATGCAAACAGAGCCTTGGCCTTGAAAGAGATAAAACTACAATATATTGAATTATCCCCTGCAAAGTGATGCTCTAACAGACTTGGGCTGTTGGTCCAGCTGGGTTGTATCAAAAGATACTATCTGATGCTTCAGAAGGAGGTGCAGTTTCTGTTATGTGGTTAGATAAAAGTATATCCTGCACCTATGGAGGAATAACCCCATGCACCAGTACAGGCTGGAGGCTGACCTGCTGGAGAGCAGCCTGGCAGAGAAGGACCTGGGACTCCTGGTGGACAAGTTGACAATGTGTCCTTATGGCCAAGAAGGCCATTTTTAAGAGCGTGGCTAGCAAGTCGAGGGAGGTTATCCTCCCCCTCTACTCTGCCCTGGTGAGGCCGCATCTGTGTCCATACTGGGCTCCCCAGTTCAAGAAAGACAAGGAACTACTGGAGAGAGTCCAGCAGAGAGCAACAAAGATGATGAGGAGAATGGAGCATCTCCCTTATGAGGAAGGGCTGAGAGAGCTGGGTCTGTTCAGCCTGGAGAAGAGAAGACTGAGAGGGGATCTGATCAATACTTGCAAATACCTTAAGGGCAGGTGTCAAAATGATGGGACCAGACTCTTTTCAGTGGTGCCCAGCAACAGGTTAAGAGGCAACGGGCACAAACTGAAACTCAGGAAGTTCTATCTGAATATGAGGAACAACTTCTGTACTTTGAGGGTGGCATAGCACTGGAACAGGCTGCCCAGAGAGGTTGTGGAGTCTCCTTCTCTGGAGATATTCAAAACCCGCCTGGATGTGTTGCTGTGCAACTTGCTGTAGGTGACTCTGCTTTGGTAGGGATTTGGACTAGATGATCTCCAGAGGTCCCTTCCAACCCCCACCATTCTGTGATTCTGTGATAAGCATTAAGGGCTGTATTCTTTCCTGATGACCTGTACTTCTTTCCTGTAGTCATATTCTACTTTAATGATCGCTTACACTTTTGTGACAAAACAAGTTTGGAAATTCAGAGGAAGAAGAAAGGGTAGAGTATTTTGGCCTAGAAAGAAGACTTGAACACAGGCAGCATTAAATTCTGTACTCTTTAATGTAAGAGATTAAGCAGACAAGGAACTAATCAAGTCTAATCATGGCTTAGAACTAGCCTTCGCTTTTATTTGGAAAATCACTGCTATGGTAGGAAGACAAAAGTAAGTTTTCAGTGCATCAAACAGTGAGCAAAATGATCTTCAGATACCTTCTTTACTAAAACAACACAATGTGATATTTGCAGCTGCACAGATAGTCTAGGACCCTCTCCAAGCTGAGCAGAGAGTGCTGACCTTGAGTGGCTGCTCCTTGCATCAGGCAGAGTAAAGCAGAAAATGTCTGAGCTTGCTTTCAGCACTCTTTCATTTGCATTTTGAGAGGTGCAAGATAACCTCTCCCCTTTGCTCTTTGCCCCCCAGGAACCCATGGAGAAATCAGGTTACTTACTGAAAATGGGCAGCCAGGTGAAGATGTGGAAGAGACGGTGGTTTGTTCTAAGAAACAGACAAATTATGTACTACAAGTCTCCGGTGAGTCACTGGGATATATTTACTCCTTTGCAGAGGCACAGGGAAAGGCTGTCTGCAGAACTGGTTCCAGGCTGATACTGCTGGCAGAGTGGGCAGCCATGAGCAAGTTTCCCCCAAAATGTCCTGCCAAAGAGCTTTGTCTGACCCACAGGTTCAACTGTGGATCTCTGCTTAGGCAGGGAATCTCCATGTGGTGGCAGTTTCTGGATGAAAGGTTGTTCACAAGGATGAAGCTTGACACCTACTGGTTAATTCTGTACAGACGATGAAAAGCAAAAGGCATACCATGGCAAAGCTTTCGTGATGTTTAAGATGAAAATAAAGGAAAAATAAATTACAGTACCAGGAGGGTGCAGATACATACACATCAGTCAGTATATGGGGCTCTGAAGAAAACTACAACTCTCAGGGGGAAGAAAGCTGGATTCTTTCATTTTTCAGCTTCCCCTATGGACATGGAAGTATTAGAAAACTAGGGTAAAATTGAAAATAAGCTTTCATACAGAATACTGTCTTATAATGATCAATGAAACAATATTGAGAGCGCATGTTTGTGTGTTCAAACCTTTCCAAGTATTTTTTTATAACTCGCAACTGTTTCAAATAAAGTTACATTGTTTCAAAAATTCTAGCAGTATGCACTCAAAATTTGTATATACAATAAAATACATTTGTTGTTGGCCTTCATTATTCTGCTGTATTTAGCTATGTTACAGAGAATTATATTTATGGATATTCACCTTCCATACTTTTTTCTTCTGGACACAGCAATTTCCTCCATACCTGCATAATTACACAGTATTTCTGTGTATATACACATCATTGCTTGCAAGTCAGGACTATTGAGAAGATGTATTTTCAACTTTTTTATTTTTTCAGCTCTTGTCATATTCTGACAAGACAAAAATATACCTTAGGGCACAATGCATCTTTATGTCTAGTAATAGGTTTATCCATCGGAATTCACAAGCAAATAATACATGTATTATACATATATATTGTATACATATATGTATTAAAAAATAATTTCATGAATACATAGGATTTAGACTGTTGATTGGAAGGGACTTCTGGAAGACCCTAGTTCAACTGACACATTGAAGAGGGACTGTCACCAGCTGTAGCTCAAACCACCCATGGCTTTGTCTAGCTGAATCTTGAAAACTTCCAAAGGTGGAAATTCAGCCGCTGCCTGGGTACCTGTTTGGTGTTGTATTGCCTTCTCACTGAGAAAAGGTTTGCTCCCTCCCGCCCCCAGTGTCCAATCTGAACTTCGGAAGACCGTATTTGTTGCTACTACCCTTGTTATATTGTCTGCCACTCACTACTGAGGAGACCTTCCCTTCATCATTGCAATGGGATCACACTGTCTGTCATTCAACCTGGCAAACTTCAGCTGTCCTTTCCAGCTCACGAATGCAGACTCCAACCTGCACATGCATATTATGCTGTATTTGAGTACTTTAAGACCCATCTAAGCTTTTTTCCTACTGAAAAAGTTGTTTGCTTCTCTTTCCTCAGAGTGACGTTATCCGCAAACCACAAGGGCAGATGGAGCTGAATTCCTCGTGCCAAATTGTTAGAGGTGAAGGGTCCCAAACGTTCCAGGTAAGTGTTGCTTTTTCATTCTGCAGATAACCACACACTCGGTGGCTGGGTGAGAGAACACTTGTTTCAGGCTGAGTGGTGCTGTATGTCTCAATCGATACAAGCTAACTTTATCTGGCCTGGTGTTTCCTGGCACAAGCCAGGCAGTTATTTTACTAAATAA